TTACTCGGTGTGACCCTTACCCACAGGACCCATGTGTGTGTAACAATTGCCCCTTTACTCGGTGTGACCCTTACCCACAGGACCCATGTGTGTGTAACAATTGCCCCTTTACCTGGTAGGTGGTAGCACTGCCACTCAGCAACCTCATGAGCTCAGTGAACCGCTGTTCATAGAGGTGTAGCAGGACTGCCATGTAGAGACTGGAGCTGGTCATTTGCTCCTCGACCTGCATCCGCAAAGGGAATGGGGCAGAACAAGAGAGACGTGGGAGATGGAGAATCAGTTCTGTGATTGATCAGAGTGTCTGTGCTGTGCTTTACAGGATTGCAATGTATTTTGATAACTCAGTCCACAATGCCCCTCACACCCCTTCCCTCACCTTACATGTCGTTTGTTGCTGTATTTCCTAGGGCTGTGACGACTGTTGCCTTTCCCTTGCTTTTGTCCTCCCATTTCCTCCACAAGCAGGATGATGAGCCTGGGAAGTGGCACTGCTACTGGTAGCATAACATTGGCATCATACCATCACTGACCATGAGTGGAAAGTCTCAGCTCTTCCCTCTCAATCGTACCCTTGGAATTATACATGAAACTGGAGCCTCTCCCCTCACCCATGCATGTGAGTCCCATACACTTCCCTTTCCCTGCGCCTTTTTCTTTAATTCTTGTAGATGGTACACACTCCTGTGACTGAGCATTAGTGGTGGAGGGAGCGGGTTTGTGGATGCAGTGCCAATTGAGCAGGGACTGCTGTGTCCCTGGACGGTGTCGAGCTTCTCGAGTGTTGTCGGAGCTGCCGCCATCCAAGGCAACTGGGGTGTATCCCATCACACTCCTGACTGTGTGCCTTGTCGATGGTGGGACAAGGCTTTGGGGGGGGAGGTGTCAGGAGGAGAGTGACTCACTGCAGGATTCCCAGCCTCTGACCTGCTCTTGTAGCCCCTGCGTTTATGTGGGGCTGGTCCATGTTCAGTTTCTGGTCAGTGGTAACCCCCAAGACGTTGATAGTGCGGGGGGGTTGGGGGGAGTGGATTCAGTGATGATAACACCATTGCACATCGAGGGGAGATTGTTAGACTCCCTCTTGATACAGCTCTCTCTCCCCCTCCCTACGCTTCTGTGGGAGCACGTGCTGTCCCATCCCCCCGCCATACCTGTGAGGCTGCTCGCTTGCGATGAAACTCATGCACATCAAAGTTGTCAAAATCCAGCTTGAGGCTCTGTTTGCAGAGCTCGCAGGTGGTGACAGCAGCCAGATCAGCTCCTGTGTGGAGAAAAAGGAACAATCACTCATTCACAAACCCACTGCAAACTGAGGGAGCAGCCGTGGGGACGGGGGGGGGTGCATGGGGTCGAAGGGTGCTATGATCTCAGCTGATGGAGGCCTGGAGCAGAGCAGCTGATGGCCAAAGCAGAGCAGGCTGAGGCTTAGAACAGGCTGGAGGCATGCAGTGGAGCAGAGTGGGATGGCCAGCGGTCTGGAAGCCAGGGTAGAGTGGGCTGGAGGCCCGGGACAGAGTTGGCCGGAGACCTGGAGAAGACCAGGATGGCCGGTGGGCTGGAGGCCC